CGTAGTTTTGTCACGCAGAGGCAGAGTATCGGCGAAACACGTGTCTGGGCTTTTAGTTAGTACGTATGTCCAAAGTACGCTATAGTATGTTTGATGCATACATTTCATACTACATGTGGTAGTACTCGTCTGTTGAATTGGCATTACATGGTTATTCTACAGTAGTCGATTGTCTTCGACTCTTGGGCTCGTGGCCCAGTGGTTAGAGGGGGGACTTCTAACTGACAGGTCGAGATTTCGAGCCTCGCGTGTTCCACGCTTCGGGATTGGCTATGACTGATTGACGACGGCTAATAAGCCAGAAATGACCATTCCAGTCTCCCTCGTCTTTGTCGGTAATAAGATAATGCCTATATTATTTCGCTAAATTACCGTGGAATTTTCGTCTTTTCAGGATAATATTACGTTTCAAATCGGCCTTGAATTATCGCCGATTTTCAGTGTTGTCATCTGATCGCCGATAAAGACAGATGTTGTATCATTTCTCTGTTAAAAACTTTTAAATAAGGCATTTTTCGAAGTAGGGAAATTTTGGACGTTCTTTTTCATGTAGACGGTCGTTTGAGTCACATTTGACGACACACTCAAGCATGAAACTTCATTGTCGAATGGAATAGCCGTCCACAACGAAATTCAGTAAGAAATATGTCTTTAATCAAAATTTGAAAACTCTCTCTAGTTAGTTACTTCTTTAGGAAGTGCTTTCTTACTGCACTGCGTTGACGGATCTCTGTGTACTTTTTCTACCGTAAACGCAAGATTATATCTTGCACTGTCTTTGCCCGCCTTTAGACTGCGTTCTTCGATTATGAATGCACGAGAGAGCCTCCATATAAATACTGATATTCTGCTAAAACTGCTCATGTTTTGCTCGTTCCATCTCTGAATAAGGCATTTGCGGAAGCTAGACTACACGGCGAGTAATGCTTCTTATCTTCAAGACAGGAAATGGCCATTCGGTGATGGTCATTTCTGTGATATCATGTTTAATCCTCCAACGGCAAAACAATTTCAGCCCATTTAAACGAAGGAATCCCTGTCACGTTATTAGTGCACTTCAGGGCACCAAATCGCACTGACCTGCTAATGACTTTTTAAAAATCTTTAAAATATTTGGTTCTTTTAAAGTGACCTTTGTGTGAGTAAATTGATTACCACGGTTAGGATCGGACATAAAACAAATTCTCAAGTCCGCAAACCTCTGCTTATTAAAACCACCGCGAGTAAATTAGTCCCCTTTTAATGAGAAACACGCTCAAATGTACAACCGAAGTCTAGGACAGATATTAGCATATAAAATGGCACGAATATATTGCAACGTTCATTTTCGCTAAAAAAAAATAGTTGATATTTTGATGGATATAATTGCACAAACACAATTTCTGCAAAAGAAAAGGACATTTCATTGAAGGGGCCGAATAAGCAAGCAAAATGCGTAACGTTTAAGACGTCCAACATTGGCACATAAGTTTCCGTTATTAAGTTTAGCGAGATAGGTCACGTACTGTAGGTAAATGTCGTAGTTGACGTTACGTATTCTCTTTGGGTATTTATTTGCGAACGTTACTAAAGCACTTTCTTTAAAATTATTCTACGTGAACTACTTTATTTGCTCGTCTTTTCGCATGGACATACGAAATCCCACCCAGCCACCGTGAGGTTTTCACCAGCATTCTTTATCAGCACAAAACGAACCAAAACTCAGTGGCAATAATTGAA